GTTTTACTCAATTAGATCCAACTGAAAATTTTTATTTATGATGAAACCAATCGTTATGCTGTGCATCCGTATGCACCATGCATGGTGCATACGGATGCCAAAACGACGTCGTTTTATTAAAAAACGCGTGTCTCCCCTTTAAAAAAAATTCAGGTTCGATTCCCAGCAACAACATTATATTGTTCATTCATTCTGGAATTTTAGTTCATAGATTATGGAATTATAGTTCATTGATTATGGAATTATAGTTCATCGATTATGGAATTGTAGTTCATCGATTCTGAAATTTTAGTTTATAGATTATGGAATTTTAGTTCATTCATTCTGGAATTTTTAGTTCATAGATTAGATTATGGAATTATAGTTCATCGATTATGGAATTTTAGTTCATATGTTGTTGTTGTGAATCGAACCTGATTTTTTTTAAGGGGAGACGCGCGTTTTATTAAAACGACGTCGTTTTTGTATCTGTATGCACCATGCATGGTGCATACGGATGCACAGCATAATTTGAAACAGTTATCAAATGAGTTGGAGAATCAAGTGACATAAAACTTGCCTGTAGGTTAAAGTTTTATTCAATAAGATTCATTACGACCATTATGATAAAACTTAAGAAATCATGTTCCTTTTCCTAATTCATGTGGACAAATTAAGAAATATGATCTAAAATTTACATCATAAAATTAAACTTCATGATAGAATTGGAAATTATTTACAAATAACCATAAAGTAAATAAATTGATTTATTTCTATCATCACTAATAAAATTACTAAACTACACTCCGATAAATAATTGCATGTGGGCTAAATTATGACCGTAGTCCAACACTTCATACTGATTAACCATACAAATATAACGAAATTGCAGGTGGGCTAAATTCCATCATATTACACACAACTAATCACAAATAATATGTCTAAAACTTTATGTGATCAAAATAAACCACTTAATATATAATTTTAACATATTAAGGATGCTGTGGCTACTCCCCAGCCAAATTAAAATTATAAGATCACTAGACAATTATCAATTTCTTGCCTAAACTTTATAATTTTAACAGATTAAGGATGCTGTGGCTACTCCCTAATCAAATTAAAAATTATAAGATCATAACTTAATAATCTTAGGTAGTTGAATATGCTGTAGCTATTCCTTAATTAATCAAGATTGAAAAACTTGAGAGACTTTAGTAAATCAAAGATGCTATGACTATTCTTTAATTAACCAAAATCAAATAACATTAGCAATGAATACTTAAAATTTTGGCAAATTATACTAGATTATGATGGAAAATTTCAAATATACTCCCAGGAAAGTTGGCTAAAGACAGAGTCTCATTGAAAACCAACTCCTTAGATAAAATATATATCAACTTAAGGAGACTAGTGACACAAGATGTTCTTAAGTCATGACCATAAAACTAGTATGCCTCCCCGATTCATATACACTTAACGTATAATTAACTGTCTGGGGTATAAACTGAAAAAAAAAAAAAAAAAAAAACTTGTAGGGTATAATCCAAAACTGGATTGTTCACCTACAATTAAAATTTAAATTGGTGAACTAAATTAACGGCTTAAACGTGCTTAAATTCATGCACTACCGCAACTAAAGTTTATGCATAAGTCCAATTTAAATAGGAACTAATATAATTAAACCGCTAACATTTATAAACGTTTTTGGATAAAATTTTAAAAACTTAATAAAATTTGAAGTCCAAAACCATTAATGTCAAGAAAATTATCTTACATATTCGAGTCATAGAGTCTAATAAAGAATTGTAAAATATTTTTGAAAGAGGGATGATTTTTAGGAATAAACATATATGATTAGAACTGATGTGTTGGTAGTTTGGTTACGTTGAGGCGCAAAAAAAAAAAAAAAAAAAAAAAAAAAGTCAACACAAATCTCACTATTTTGCAAACTTAATAAATGTAGAAGATGAAATGTGGATAAAATATATTTACGAACAAAGGAAATCAAACTGGGGATGTAGCTCAGATGGTAGAGCGCTCGCTTAGCATGCGAAAGGTACGGGGATCGATACCCCGCATCTCCAACCTTTTGTTTGTTTTAAACTTGAAATAGAATATCCTTCATATAGTCTAAACCTTAAACTCGAAACAAATTGGGGATGTAGCTCAGATGGTAGAGCGCTCGCTTAGCATGCGAGAGGTACGGGGATCGATACCCGCATCTCCATTGGTTTTTTCTGATAACTTGAGACAGAACATTTTCCCAATGCAAACCAGAAGGCAGAAGCATGCAACTGATTACGTTATTGCAGCCAGCTTGAAGGGGCATCATTAAGATTGCAAATGAGAAGACCTTCTGTTATTGTTCATTGTTGTTAAGCATTGCTAGATTTAGCATAACAATGATAGCGTATGACAGGAAATGCATTCTGATTTCCAAGGAAACAAGTATTGAAATTGTTAGCATGCTGGAAAAGGAAAAGAAAATTCAAGGAAGAAGCAGAAATTGCAACTCAACTCATATAATATAATCCTTCTTCTTCCTCACGTGGCCACTGGAAATTAATTATAGCAGCACTGGAAGCAAATTGGCTAATGAAATGAAAACTACTAGTAGTATGGGAGCCAAGCCCAAGAAAGAGCATTGGTGGGCTAAGGTGGAAGGACAAGATTGGGTTACAAAGGCTTGGCAAATTATGCTGTTTATAATTATGAATATATAGTTCAAATATTATGAACATATAGTTCTATAATTATGAATATAGAGTTGTGAACATAATTTTGAACATATAATTCTGTAATTATGAATATATAGATTCAATAATTATGAATATGAAGTTAAAAATTATAAATATATAGCTTTATAATTATGAACACATAGTTCAGTAATTATGAGCATAGAGTTCAATAATTATGAATATAAAGTTCAAAAATTATAAATATATAGCTTTATACGGAGTAATTATGAACCTATAGTTTAGTAATTATGAACATAGAATCGTGTCCACCTTGCAAGGTGGACACGGTTCCACATCATAACGATTGCTCTTTTACCGTTTAGACAAAAGTGACACAAAACTTGTAGGATGCACAGGTGGGAGGGGAGAAGGGACTTGGGGCAATCATTATCTTCCACACATTTATGTGGACAATATTATCAAATAATGTACATTTAGTATACAAATAATGTACATTTAGTATATTAAAAATGTACATTGTATTCATGAAAAATACATTATTTTATATAATGTATATTCAATACACAAATAATGTACTTTTAATATATTAAAAATGTACTTTTTGTTATTATCCACATACCACTATGTGGACCATGAGCCACACAATAATTTGACAATATACATATTTTTTTGTTATCATAAGGGAGGGGGATACCCCAAAGAGAAGGTTCTAACCCCTTTCTCTCACGAAACGAACTCTAGGAGCTCGAGCTATAACCTCTTGAATAAGCTCTTCAATTCCGGGTGGGGGGACGGTTGGCTCCTTCCAATGCTCTCTCTGAACCGCACCAAGGGTTGCAAGACCATCGGCAACCCTATTTTGCTCCCAGTAAATGTCCCAAATGGAAACTTTCCAGTCCTTGCTCAACCAATTTTTAATCTCTCCCAAATAGCTTTGGATCAACCCTCTTTTCTCCTGTGACTGTTGAGTCCACTTGATAACATTGCTTGCATCAGATTGGATTTCGATGTCCCGAATACCCTTGTTCCAAGCCCAGTCAAGGCCTTTGGCTAGGCCTGTGCAATATTCGAAACATCCGACCCACCCGAAACCCGACGGATGAACCCGTGGAGTTGACCGTATCCGAACTCCCAGATCCGACCCGAAGCTGCGTTCAATGGTGGATAAAGAGGGATCGGGTTGGAGGCAATAAATGCCACCCGAACTCGTCCGAATATCCGAAAGAACCCTAGGGATTTTTTTACCCTATGTAATACGACGTCGTGTGGTTGTTATATATATATCGAATGTTTGTCCGACGCAGCCGAGCCCTCATTTCATTTGAGTTCTCTGAGTCTCTGACTTCTCTCTACTTCTCTGGTCTTTGACTCAAAGACTTTGAGTTCTCTCATCTCTCGACTCTCGTTCTCTCTTTCGCTTTGGTCTTTGAGTCTTACTCTCTGAGACTTTGAGAGTCTGAGTATCTGAGTTCTCACTTCTTAGTTCTAGACACTCACCGGTGGAAGCCCTAGTTGGAGTAGTCTGGTGGAGTGGTGGAAGCCGTAGTCCGATCACCGGTAGAACTGCTAATCGAAGCCCTTTGTTCTCGAGGGATTAATTTTGAGAAACGAAGTAATTGCAAAACCCTATTTACATTTTTGTTATAGATTATTGTCTATTTGTCTAATTGATTAGGGTTTCTAATTTGTTATGATTATGTGTACTGTGATACTTGTCAATCTGTTGAGAAGTTTCGGATTGCATGTCACTAGTCCTTTGAGTGTGAATTTCTGATACTTTGATTATGGTTTCTAATTTGTTATGATTATGTGGACTGTGATACTTGTCAATATGTTGAGAAGTTCCAGATTGCATGTCACTAGTCCTTTGAGTGTGAATTTCTGATACTTTGATTAGGGTTTCTAATTTGTAACCTAATTTGTGGTGGAAGCCCTATTGTCCTAGCCCCTAGCCACTGTGGCAATGTTAAGCATGCTAGTATTCTTGTGGAATCCGTATAAATGTGTGAGTGTGTGACTGAAATCCATATAAATGATGAGCATATAAAGTAGCATACATCTACTTAGCTTGAATGCCTGATTATGGATTTCATTGTAATTTGTAATTTGTAATTGTGAAAATGTGAAATTGTAAGTTTATGGATATGTGACCCTTAAATCATTTATGTGCAATTCTGCATACATGATGAAATGTTCAATTAACTGAATTTTGCATGTTTAAGACTTTAAGTAATTGATACATGTGACAAAGCCCATTCACTGTTGATGATTTTCCATGAGTGATTTCCCATTCACTGTCACTGATACTTTCCCCCTTTTTAGATGGAAAATGTTAGTGGTCTATCTGGAACTGGAACCCAACCTGAGTTGGAAGCACCAGCTGTAGAGACTGTTACTCCTCAGTCTCAGCAGTCTTTGCCTCCACTTGTTCTAAAGAAAAGGAAAGGGGTTGAAACCACTAGATCTCTAGTTTGGGATCACTTTGAAAAGATCAAAGACTCTGAGGGCATTACCATCAAAGGAAAATGTATATATTGTGCAAAAGTGTATGCATGTGAGACCAAGAAACATGTGACTTCTTCTCTAAGGAATCACATTGTAAGCTGCCTTAAAAATCCTCACTCTAAGGAGACAAGGCAGTCCATGCTTACATTCCAACCTGCACCTTCTTCTGCTGGAACTCAAAGTAGTGAAGGAATTGAAGGGGTGTTGGGTACTTGGGTGTTTGATCAAGACTTGATAAGGAGAGCATTAGCTGAGATGATTATTTTAGATGAACTTCCTTTTTAGGATTGTTGAGGGATAGGGTTTTAGAAAGTTTGTTTTAGTTTGCTGTCCTATGTTTAAAATCCCTTCAAGATGGACTATCAGTAGGGACATTTTCAAGATATTTTCTGATGTGAGGGTGAACTTGAAGAAGTTTTTTAAGACTAGCAGTCAGAGGGTAAATATCACAACTGATACTTGGACCTCAATCCAGAGGATAAACTACATGTGCATAACTGCACATTTCATTGATAGAGTGGAAGCTACAAAAGAAAATCATTTCATTTGTTCCTATTTATTCCCACAAGGGGGAAAATATTGCAAAGGCTTTAGAAAGTTGCCTCTTATACTGGGGTCTAAAATCAGTGTTTAGTGTGACATTAGATAATGCTTCCAGCAATGACACTGCCCTAGGATTCTTGAAGAAGAAGTTGGTCTCTTGGGGTTGTACTACTGTTAGGTGTAAGTATTTGCACATGAGGTGCATTGTTCACATCCTTAACTTGGTGGCACAGGATGGGTTGAAAGAATGTGACAGTTCTGTTAAGAAAGTTAGAGATGCTATTAGGTATGTGAGGAGCTCACCTGCTAGGTTACAAAAGTTTAGAGATCTAGCTGATCTAATTTGGGTGGAAGCTAAGAATTCTTTGTGTCTAAATGTTCCTACAAGGTGGAATTCCACCTATATGACGCTTAATACTGCATTATTGTTTCAGAAGGTATTTGAAGCCTATGAAGATCATGACAGTTCATTTAAATCTGATTTGGGTGGAAGTGTACCTGATTTCATGGATTGGGAATCCATTCAATCTTTGGTTAAGATTCTGAAATCTTTTTATGAAATGATTGTTAGGATTTCTGGTTCATTGTATGTGACTTCTAATACCTTCTTCTATGAGGTTTCTGATCTGTCTTGCTTGTTGAAAAATATGGAGGAAGCTACAGAAGATAGTGTTAAAGTGATGGGTAAAAATATGAGGGCAAAATTTGATAAGTATTGGGGTGAGCTAGAAAAAATGAATTTTTTGATATTCTATGCAAATATCTTAGATCCCAGGGACAAAATTGAGTATATGCCCATTCAGTTTAACCAGTTATATGGTGAGGACAAGGGTAAAGCAATGTTTGATAAGGTTATTGTTGGCCTTAAGGAGTTGTTTCAAGATTATGTTGCATGTTTCCCTTTCCAGTCTGTTGAACAATATGACAAATCTTCTCCCTCAATAACAATATCTGATTCTGTTTCTGGTGGGAGACCTCAATCATTACTGAAATCTCAAATTAAGAAGCAAAAATTGGAGAGTGGAGATTTGTCTAGGAAAAAAACTGAGTTGGAAGTGTATCTCTCTGAGGTTATTGTGGATGATGAGGATTCTTTTGACCTTCTAAGATGGTGGAAGCAACAATCTGAAAGGTTCCATGTCTTATCTAAAATGGCAAGGGATATTCTAGTTGTTCTAATATCTACTGTTGCTTCATAATCAACATTTAGTACCAGTAGAAGGGTACTAGATGCCTTTAGGAGTTCCCTAACTCCTAGAATTATTGAGGCACTGGTGTGTGCACATGATTGGCTAAGGTTAGCCAATCAACCTATCTATGTTGAAGAAAACATTGATGATGTTGAAAGGATTGAGAAAGGTATATACTTTAACATATTATAATTTTTACCTTGTCTGTTTAATTGTTTATAATAACTATTGAGTATTACTTATTTGATTTTAAGTTTTAACTTCCATTTTGTATTTGTTTTGCAGAGTTGTGCAGCACATCCAGCACTGGAGTTGGATCTTCACTGCCTACAATTCTTGTATGTTTACATTTTTTTTTTTTTGCTTTTATGATTTCTAATTCTGAATTTGCGATTACTTATTTACTTATTTAATTTCATGATAAATTTATAACTCTGTATCAGTGTATCATGTATGTGCATCAATGATTCAAATCAATGTCCCTCATGAGGTTGGGAACTGGAAAACTGGAAAGTGCTCATGGCTAGGTAACATTTTAAATGTTGCTGCTATTAAGCTCAGGTATCAGTATAAGTATTCACTGTGATTTGTTCTTTGTTCTGACTTCTGAGTAGGTATCTATATAACTGTATAAGTATTATTGTGCAATGATGATGCTTCCACCAGGTTCTCTGAATATATAGAATTGGGTTTGGTATGTTGCCTATGAAGTGTGATGTTTATGCCATACTCATTGAGTAATGTGCCCACAATCCTAACTTGATATGGAAAAAAAGCTATCTGAGCACTTTTTAGTAGTTTAGTCTATAATCCTTTAACTCAATCAATTGTTCCAATATTCAATGGCACAATGCATTAAATTATGAAATGTTTTGAACTTATTATGTTTTTATGTTATCACTTATGAGGAAGAAGAATAGACTGCTCAATATTATATAATCATATATTCATATGTTAGTTGTATATTGGGTATTTGGAATTTTGGAGTTTTTGTATTTGGATTTCTGGTTTTCTTTTGATCCATGGCTCATGGTTGATGGCTGAATTGCTGAATGCTGATTGTTGTTGCTTGGAGATCGGAGAATGATGCTGATTGCTAAATGATAATGCTGACATGCTCAAAGTTTTTGCCTTTGAAGAATTGAAGTTCTAACTCAAAGTTTTAAATTTGTAACTTAATCTGTAAATTTGTATGTTTTGAACTTTGAGTTCTAACTTGTAAGTTTGTTAATTTGATTATATGGTTAATGTTTTCTAAGTTTACTTAAGTTATTTTTGTTGTTAAGTAGTTACTAGTTACTAGTTAGCTTGTTAAAGTAAGTGTTCAATGAAACTGTGAAACATGTATAAAATTGTTTTTTTTTTTTTGAAGTAAATTTTTTAATTTTTGAAGTTTTTTTTTTTTTTTTAAAGTCGAACTAGTCGACTGATACATCAGATATTCATCGGACTAGTTCGGACAATTATCCGACGCATATTCCCACAGAATTGAACGGATATGATGTCACTTTTAAAAACCGAAATCCGATCGGAGTGACCGTCCGAACCCGTCCGACGCACAGTCCTACCTTTGGCGATTGCTTGAGCTTCAACAATTGTCGCTATTCCATGGTTGGTTTTTGTAGTGAATCCTCCACCCACCCGCCAGATTCATCTCTTAAGATTCCTCCAAAACCCGCTTGAAAAGTTCTTGGCTTGATGCTGGCGTCGACGTTAAGGGTCCATTTATGGTCATGGGATGGTTTCCATGATGAAAAGATCTTCCTTATGTCGTTAGGGGCTCTTTTCATTTGATCACATCTCGCAAAGGCCCGTCTACTCTCATCATCGGCATCTATAATCCACAGCACTTTCCTTCGGTTCTCCATTTCTTCACCTCTGAAGATTCTATTATTATGCCTGTAACACCCCAGATTTTCAAGATATTTAAAACTTATAAAATAAAGGTGAAATCTCATTAAATCCCAAAACATAACACAAGAGTGCGGGGTGCTATGCCACACCTGAGCTAGAGAACTCAGGTGCACAGGCTAACTAACTAATATCCTCAATAATGTAACGCATAAACATGGCGCGCAGGCCGAAAGGGAAGCTAACTACTTCTACGCTCCAAATTCTAACGCGCTCCGGTGACCTACTCTTCTGTGCCTGAAAGCCAAATATACCTGTTCAGCGAGAGATGCTGGTAACCCACTCCAACGTGTTGAAACATTACATATAGAGATATATATAGATATACGAAAACCCTTTTTAAGCATGAAGATATATCCTACGAGACTCTAGCTTTTAAAACCGGGAATGACTCGACAGATAAGGCTAGACACAAGCAACAGTTATAACAGGCGTATATGATCCACAACAGGCAAGACAGATAAAGATAAGCACAATTAATAATCATAACCCAACATAAACAATCCCCAGCATAAATCCCTTAGTCACATCCCCCAATATACTCATAAATACAACTCCTCCATATCTCATCACATAGCACAACTTGTTGGCGCCACAGGACCAATCGCATGCCCATACATGAGGGTCAGCGCATATAGCTCTGACACGGCCCCGCAGCACCCTGCCCCGTCTCACATTACGGAGGAGCTGATCGCAACCGACTGATGGACCTTTGTCCTACATAATATTTATATACCTGACCGGTCTTTACCAGCCTGGTTAACAGTTGGGATGGTTCTCAGCCCATTCAACTGCCCGTATAGTGGACCTTTGTCCTATATAATATTTATATACCTGACCGGTCTCTACCAGCCTGGTTAACAGCCGGTATGGTTCTCAGCCCATCCGACTGCCCGTATAGTGGAACTTAGTCCTATATAATATTTATATACCTGACCGGTCTCTACCAGCTTGGTTAACAGCCGGTATGGTTCTCAGCCCACCCGACTGCCCGTATAGCCCGATTGATCTTAACCAACTCGGGGTTACATGCACACATAACACATAGCAAGTACATGCAACCCACATTAACATATTGGGAAGGGGGAGAAAACGTATAACAAAACCTATGCGTGATCCATCACATACTAGGAATGGTCCTAAGGGGTTCATACTTCTTCCACTTAGGTCAACGGGATACCAATTCAACTAGCATGCAATATACTAGACTCATAAACCTACGAACGGTACCCGAAATATCAAACTAGACATAGGCACGATAAACGGAGTCCGTTGGGACACCACGGGGAACGGGGGAGCATCAAACGGGGAAGCCGGGAACCCAAAGTGGGGGAAATTCCAGCGGGTAGCCGGTGGGTGGGGGGCCACCCGCCGACTGCCCGCCCGCCGGCTGCCCGCTGCCGGAGATACAATTTCCGGTCGTGGGTAGGTGGTGGGTCCCCTACCCCCCACTGACTCTTATCACACAATTTCGCCCCGGGAACCATTGTGGAACCCGAAACCATGCTTAGACACTTTACAACGCAATTAACGACAACACGTAGACAATTAACGGATCAAATACGAGAAACGAACGGCACATAACCTATCATGCTTTTCTAAACATAATCAACACCCAAACATGCGATTTCCCCACCCGATAATCCAAGAATAATATTATACGATACAACCTAGGGTTCTAATCACTTTTATATCAACAAGGATACGATTCGTCTTCTAATCGCAAGATTCGGTAAGAATAACATATAAGCATCAAGAGCATCACACAATTATCAAGAACAACACGTAATCATCAAGAACTCCATATAATCATCAAGAGCACCATAATTATCAAGAATCTCCCAACATCAAGATTATCAAGATCCCTCATGGGATCATCACGTCAAACATCAATAATCATCATCATATCTCGCCAATACACAATAATATGGGGGAAACCCTAAGGGGGAATCATAGCTATGAAAATAGGTTTTGTTGAGACATGGGTTACCTCTTAGCCTTAATTAATTCCTTGGCTATGAAGGGTCTTCCTTTAAGCTTTCTTGCTTTCTTGATTTCTTCTAAGGGGATTCTTGGAGCTCTTTTGGGGTGGTGGGGCGTTAATCTTGTGGGAGGGGTTCTAGGTGCCTCTTAAGTCCCCTATTTATATATTTAGGAGTCCTTATTAGGAACTAATATTATAGGCTTGCTAATTCTATTCTTTTTGGGACTAAGGATTGAGTTCCATGGTCCATAGTGGACCATATTAATTAATTAAAGAGAATCCTAATCATAATCTGAATAGTAAAAGACCTACTTCCTTTATTCCTAATAGATAACTAGGTCTAGGATTCCTAATCAGAATCTGAATAGTAAAAGGTTTACTTTCTTTATTCCTAATAGGCTTAAGGCTCTAATTTAGGCAATGGCCCACGGTTCATGGTGGGCCTTATTAATTAATTAAAGGGAAACCTAACCGAATTAAATCATATTTAATTATTATTGACGGGATTAATTAAATAATTAATCCGGGATTGAAGGCCGTAACACGGGGTGTTACAATGCCAGACCCAGATCCACCACATGGCAGTGGCGAACATGCATGTCCATTTGTTCTCTCTGTCGCGGCTAGCAGTTTTGGTGATATTGAAGGAGATCCACTCATTTAGGTTGTTGACATTGTCGTTCTGGTGGTTGCTAACCTCCTTCAGACCCTCCTAGACTGTTCGGGCTTTCGGGCAACGTCTGAAGATGTGATCCGTTGTCTCTTCCATGTCTGAGCAGTAGCCGCGCGAGCCATCTCCCGTGAACCCACGTCTCTTTCTTTCAGCATTTTCCCATGGCTATCAGATTCACATGTTCGTCTCAGATGGACTTTTGGGTCAAGTTTTTAATAAGTAAATATTTCTCTGGAGTAGGGCTTTGAAAACCATAAATAAATATATGAATATTTTGTAGTAAATCATTTGAAATAAGGAGTTGGAAAATATTGTATTTATACACTATTTGACAAAAATCATTATAGGAGTAATGATTCGCTTGTCAATAGAGTTGTCAAGACGAGCCCAACTCGTCGGATTGGGCCCGTTTAACCCGTATTTTACACGAGCTGGGTTGGAGGATTTTCAGGCCGTCCTGTTTCCAACCCGACCCGTGTAACCCGTGGGGGATACGGGTTATACGGGTACCCGTGTAACCCGTGGGAGATACGGGTACCCGTGTAACCCGTGGGAGATACGGGTTGGCCCGTGGGTTACACGGGCCGGCCCTTTATTAATATTTAAAAATATTGTTGCTAATAAAATTTGAACCCTTGACTTTTTATTTAAGTTATCAAATTATTACTATTGAAACCAATTATGCTAAAAACACATGTTGAACATTTTAATATAATTATATATCTATTTACATCATTCACAAGCATTATTTAAATATATAATTTATTTATATTAGATTTATTACAAATATTAATGAATACAATTAATTGTATCTATATATAAATATTAATTTAAAGTTTATTTTATTATATAAATTACACAAGGTAATAAATTATATATTTTATAAACTTTATAACTCAATAGTATATATTATCATTACAAAATAAAAAATATTACATGTAAAATATATTAGTATTAAATATAAATTAAATAAATTATAATTACATATTAAAAACTAAAATCTAATTTTATATGTATA